GGAAAGCTCACTTCTTCATTCAGAAATCATAAAAGCAAAATGAAAAAAAATAGTATACCATACATGGCGGTATTAGCTGAAATGATTATATAGCACGAGACAGCTGTGGGAGATTGAACAAAATTCACTATAGGTAGCTGTTATTCCCCTCATTAAAGAAGCCTTGTAAGTAATTTCTTCTCTTCTGACCCCACAATTATGGTTAGCACTTTGCGTCCATTTATTACCATGCTACCAACTGACCTCCACATTTGAATCATGAATCAGCAAGCTTCCAGATCAAGGACACTTTAATCTTGCAAGAGCAGAAGAGATTGTAAATTATTTTAATGCCCTAGTAAGTTATAGTCCAAGTTTCTCCTTGAAGAAGTGGGTCAAGAGATCTCAAACTGGGCAGAAAGGGGGAATGACAGACAGACCGACCACGAGCTTAGCTGGTCTCCCACTCGCATTCCTAAGGGTGTCGCATTCCTTAGCAGCAGTCTAGCAGCACTTGCTCAGAAAGGTGAGAAATTCTTTTCTGTCTGAAAACATGAAAGAAGACAGCAGCTGCCACTGCAGCAAGACAGGAAAGGCCGTGCGGTTCCCAGTCTTACTGGGGTGGAACGGGAGCAGTTCATGCAGGACACTGCGTGGGATCAGAGCAGCACAGGTTTCTTCTAGTGGCAGGACATATCTTACAGTTGAAGAGTTGTTAGGATTAAAGCAAGCTGTGAAATTAAAACCAAACAGGTGTTCCAGAATAACAGCATCTAGAGACAAGCCCTATAGTCTTATAAATCAAATGCAAATACTGGTGTCTAACTTTGGATTATTATTAATCAGCAAAGCTGGCATAGCCCCATTCTTTTATCCTATGCTACCTGAAGGGGAAGGGGGACAGCCATGCAGGGAAAGAAACCATGAAGCCATTAGCTCCATTAAGGTATTCAGATTCAAGAATACAAAAGTCTCCACAGTCTCTTTAAAATGTTCTCTTTTTGGATTATGCCAGCCAGCACCATCCCAAAATGATTATATGCCAATGTGTCTCAGTATTTTGTGCCAGAGGAAGAGGGTGCAGATTAACCATACAATTATTTATTGCAATAATTTCTCATTTCTCCTCCTTAAGGTTCTTTCCCCCCC